AGTTTTATATAAAGGTTAAGTGCACATAAAAAAAACATCCCAACCCAGTGCTGCCCAAACCCACAAATCCAACATCAACCCATATATCCAACACCAATCCACAAAGTCGTCCTCTATCTCACAAAACACACTCAATGACGCCGACTGCAGGAGGAAAGCTGAGTCAGTGAATGTGTAAGCATCTCAGCGCTGGCCAGGTTCTCCACACAGCTGCTCCAGCACCCAGGGCTGAATCGGGGTTGGTCCATGTGGCTTCTCCTTGGGGATGTCTTGCAGGAAGTGAGCCTTGCCAGCTGAAGCAGGGAACTGGCTAAGGCAATTGCACCCTGGTCTAACCATCAGTAAGCAAGAGACCCAAGAACTAGAAAGGTGAGGCTCACCGAGCCATTTATTTCTCCACCCTTCAATTAATCCCACATGTGTTTATCAACCAGATTGGCACAATAAACTTTAACTATCCCAGCTCTGTTCTTCATTTTCTTTCTTTTACACAATCTTTTACAGAATCTTGGATCGAGATTCATTTACAGAATCTTGGATCAAAATGTTTACCATCCAGTTCTCCTGACCCAGGGGGCAGCTGCTCTTGGGAGCATCCAGACCCACGCAGTTGTCTCCTGTAATGTTTGCTTTACCTTCCTCTGTTGCTTCAGGGGTTTGGAGATCATTTGTTGTCCTTAGTTGCCTGCCTGCTGGCCATTAAGACCTTATTCATTATGCATTGAGCTAGACGGTAGAACAGATACCAGGGGAAAGTTTTGCTTTGTATAGAATTCTTATTTGACACTCCCCCTCCACCACACCCCCTCCCAAAGTTACTGTCAATTCTGACTCCTGGTTAGCCTTCAGGGCAGGCTAGAACTGGCCCTGTGGGTTTCTGAGTTGTCTGTCACTCTAGGCGAGGAAACTCATCTTTCCCTGCAGAGTGGCTGGGGCTTTCCAACTGCTGAACCAAGGTTAGCAGCCCAACACATCACCGCTAAGCCACTAGGGTTCCTACCTTATTGGACACTGCTGGTTTTTTTATCTCAACATAGAAAATAGAACTTTCCACTATCTTTTGGCCTCCTCTTTCTCCCAGAGTGGCTGGTGGGTTTGACCATGGGCTTGGCAGCCCAGGGCTTCACCCGCTGAGCGTCCAGAACTCCTGGGTGTGTGTAATGGAGTCCCGCGTTTCTCTGTAGCGCTGTTCATTACCCCCGTGCTTGCCAGATTGTAGAACGACGGTTGACCAATTTTCCAGTTTACAAGTTCTTTTTTCTGCGAGCTCCGATCTTCTTAGAGCGCCTCCAGTGAATGTCTCGTTTCACTTTTCAACTCCAGAATTTTCTTGCTCTTTCTTAAAAAATGATTTCTAACTTTTTCATTTTGAATTCTGCTTAATGAGCTCTTGTTCTAGTTTCTTTTGATCCTTTAAACATGGTTTCCTCCAGGTCTCTGAATTTAAAATAGCTACATTGAAGTTCTCTGCTAAATTCAACCACTTGTTCCTCTCAGACATAGTTTCTATAGTTTTTTGGATATTTTTCTTCTTACCCCATGTATGGGTCATCCTTTTTCTCTTTATTGGCTTGTGTAATTTTTTTTTTTTTGAGAACGGTGCATTTTAGGTAATGTTACAGAAACTGTTAGATCTCTCTGTAGCTAGATATACCTCAGTCCTTGGCTCTGCACGAGAAGGAATTCACGCCGAAGCCTGGCTCATGATCCAAGTGAGTATTATGACCGTTAGAAAAAGTTTTAGGTTTACACGGCACCCATGGATCTCCTCCCGAACATGCGGCCTGGTTGGAAGCTGCTTGGCGTCACGCAAGTGTCCCGAAGTCCTGCCAAAGCTCTCTGCGCCAAAGTTCTCTCTCCTCCCCTGACATCGGGCTTCTGCCTTTTCAAGGATTCCATGGGGAGGCATGGTGGAAGACCCCTGATCGACCCCATTGGCTGAATTGAATTTACCTGGCCTAGGTGGGCCAATTCAAGTTCACACCCACCCCTGCCTACCCGCGGGAATCCAAGCCTCTGGGCAAGTGCAGTGCGCCACTTCTTTATTCCCCTAGCTTGGCCCTCTGGGCACGCATTAATGGACATTCCCAGCTCTAGCTAACCTACCTAATAAAACCCTTGATTCTGACTCCACACAAGGTGTAGTAATGCTACTAGATTTGGGGGTGATGGTGAAGGTGTTTGTTTAGTGACTGCCTGGCCTAAGTCTATTTGATCCATTTCCTTCCACACTCTCTGGCTCTATGGACATTGATAATTCTTTTTTTCTCCCCTCTACTTTGTTTCTTTTCAAGCCTGACTTCTTTTGACCACACCTGGGTCATCATAATGTTGCAATCGGACAATAATTGGTCAAATATTGTGCTGAAACACTTTGAGCTTTGAAGGCTTCTGTTCTTTGTGGGTCTCTGTGTAGTTTAGAGAATGCATCCAAGTTCAGGCAATTTACAAGTCTATTCTATCTTTTACTTCCTTCAAGGCCTTAAATTTAGTTCAATATTAGTGAGTCACTAGGACTCTTATGGTTTAGTGGTTACACGTTCAGCTGAGTACCATCCCAAAGGTCTGCAGTTCGAAACCATCAGCTGCTTACCAGGAGAAAAATGGGGCTTTCTACTCTGGTGAACAGTTTGAGCCTCGGAAACCCACAGCGGGTCTTTATGACTCACCAATCGACTCAATGGCAGTGAGTTTGAGAGAGGGCTCCCTCTGGTCTCTGCTGAGCATGAATGCAGAATTGTGTTGTAACAGCCCCAGGAAGGAGTGTGCTCTTATCAAAACCCCTCCAGCTGTCATTTTCTTCCAGGAACCTACCCCTTATCTAGACCTCAGACTGGTTTTGATGGTAGTCTTCTTTGATTATGTTACCACTGTGATCCTATTGTCTCTAAGGACAGGGAATTGACTCCAATTAGTTGTCTCCACCAGCAGACTACTGGTCCTGCCTTGCCCTGACAGCATTTCTGCAGCAGAAGTTCTAGAGGCAGGGTAATAGGCATTGTAGCATCAGGGCAAAACATCATAGACTCCCTATTGTTCGTATTGTTCCAAAGTTCAGTAGATTTTCTTCAATAAATACTTCTTAATTTGTTGCATGCCTTTGGTCAATTTCCATTGTCCTTAAATGGTTGTTTTTGATAATTTTGTCCAGTTTCATCATTGCTTGTTGGGGAGTAGACTTGACAAGCTTCTCACTCAATTATTCTAGAAAGTAAATATGATTTACTTATTTAACTTATCTACAAATTCCAAATACTTATAAGCACTTATGCAACATGCTACAAAAGCTTGCATTTTTTAGTTTTGCCACAAAGATCAAGAAATAAGTCT